AGAACTCACATAGACGGTCGGCAAAGTCTTCATCAAAAAAGGGACCTCTCCCTCTCATCCAGTCCTTTGCCGGCCGCCATGTGGACTCTCTTCTTTGGGTACGTGTACCATCACTGGCTGAGTCAAATTCAGTCAAATTCAAATCCGAATCTAATAGAAATCTACCACAAACCATTCAAATTCATTACCTACAAATTCAGTGCTGTGGTTCACAGTTTTATGCACAAACCCTTCCTCGCTAAGCCTGGCATATCCCCCCAAATAGTTGGTGTGTATTTCACTCCCGGAAGCAACATGTCCTTTAATTAAGGGTATCAATGCTTCCCAATTTTTTAGTATTATCATCCGACAATCGCTCGTTACGGTATCAAGTATGCCCAATACCCAATGGCCCTCAACATTTTTGCTACGATTATATTTTCTTGGACCAAATTTTGCTTCGTCAATCTTTTAAATAGCACATTAAATAGCACAGTATTTAAATGGGACAATAAGTACTAAAAATATGCTAGAATACAAGGTATCTGAACAACAATCGGCGATCCCGATTCAGAAATTCCTCCTAATTTCGGCTTCCCCAATTGAATTTGGGAAAATTGATCTATTATCAGCTCGCGGCAGTACGGGTACCACGCAGCGATGATTGCGGATGATATTACTACAGGTTGTTCTGATGTAAAATCGCATAACTCATGCGCGGTATTCTCATAAGAGAAATCGCGTGTGAAACAGTATATTAACCTTAAAAAATAAATAGGTTTAAGAATAGGGTAATTATTCGGAATTGTGCCTTCTTCACTGACTTTGATTGGATCTAGTTTCAAAGATATTTGGAAAATATATGGTGCAAGACGGGCGCGAAAAAACATAACCTAACTAATCTCATCCATCTTCTTGTGATTGGTTAAGCTACATTTTCATGGCTATCTTTTTGTAAATAATTACTTAAAATATAATAGTTTAGCGAACGCATTAATTATTTATTACAATTATGACAATTAGTAAGAAAGACTTACTTTATTGCTTTATCTATCGGCAAATGTATATCCTCAAAAAAAGAATCAACAGTTGCAGCGAAATCATTGCATCTACCGCGACCAACCAAACATCGAAATCGATCAATCCCGTGTTGGGATGTTTGATATAATTTCATCGGGTTTCGATGAGTAGAACAATTTTTATTCTGTCGTAGAAGACTACGTTCACGAGCCCAAACAATTGCGGCTTCCTTTGAATTTGGCAGATTTGATAAATTCCATTTTATGGATTGCATTGTTACGAACAAAGGAATATAAAAGTAAAAAAAAGCAGTGAAAAAGACGGGATAAAAACAATTCAAAAAAATAAAACGAAAAGGAACACAAACTCAGAAATACAACTAAACACCTCGAATGTATTGAATAAACTGGTGCTGACTGGTGCCTTTAGGCGGCTTCGGGCTGTTCCGTAGCCTATTTCCCCTCCACTACTCACTACTCCGCCACTCTAGTAATCCTCGTATGGTGTGCGAAATTCGTGTTAGTATACACAGGGTGAGTTACATAACTTGCACATTTTAAATAATTTCTAAATTATGTATTTTATAAAAAATTATAAAATACAAATGTTGCATGATTGCAAGGAGGGCAAATGATGATGTATCAATTTGTCTTGTACGTGGAGAGATTTCCAAACTTTCAAGGTCAACTTTCTTTTTTTAAATGGGATTATACATTTCTTTCATCTCATAGCGAAAGAATATTAAATTGCAAGTAAACAAGTATAAGCCTATCTTGGTCCTAAACCTAATCCTTAATGAGATATTTTAAGTCGAACGTAAGATAAGAATTCTTCTATTTATGAGCATTGCAGTCAGACTAGTTCTCTGATGACTCCTGTCGACTTATCTCAATCCATGCAACTTTTGTATTTTACAATTATTCATAAAACTCATAATTTATTTAAGGTGTGTAAGTTATGTGACCCACCCTGTATAGCTCTATATGACGTCACATGGCTATGATTTCTAGCAACCCTAGAGGCCACCGTTCAGATTAGGTAAGTAACTTGGAAGAAGGGATAGGCCCAGACCCAAAGGCGAGAACGAGGAAAAAGCCGTTCTGTTAGAGTCTAACCTAACAGTTAGACTATTGGTATACTATTCCATCTCCTTTTTCAAGATATTTGCCTAGTGTAAACGGTACTTTAACTTATTGTTAGGTTAAAAAAATCAAATACGTGTAAAGCACATGTAAATAAAGACATTTCAGTTATTCCGCAAAAATGAACGGTACCTACGTTCCCATCTCTTTATAGGCATTAACTTCGTTCATTAGACGAATTATGAATAGAAGCGAATATGGCGTCAAATTAATCTCAAAAATACGCTAAAAACGTTCAGTTTTACATACACATAACTTTTGAATGTATGGATTCCTAAAGTTAAAACTTGTATTTTTACATATTTCTCGTCGAATACTATTGAAGAATAGAAAGAAAAATCGATTACTTTGTGTCCTCCAAAGTAAAGTTCGGCCATTAAAACCGGGTATTTCAGAAATACCTGGTCCAAATCAATAGTGCTGCCGTAGATCGCAATTTGGAAGAAGGGAATGGACATAAAATAGAGGCACCATTCAACAGGTCACAGTTAAGCTTGGACAGCACTGACTAAAGGGACCAAAGGGCGGATCTCGTCTTAGTAAAGAGCGAATTAATTAGGCCGAAAACAATGAACATCCATGGAGATAGTTATCAATGTTTCAGTAGGGTTGAATTGTATGTATATACAAAATTTATACAGTGTATAAAAATCGTGAGTTGATGATCGAAAAGCTGGGGTCTGAAGTTCCATGTTCCATTCAATATTCGATAGATCTCTGTTCACTTTTATTCGAACATCATAAATCATCAGTGGCTTACGGTACCAATGTATTTATTATGAATATTTTTTATGTTCGGTTACGTTATATTATTATCAAAACACTTCAACAGATAAGCATAGAATGTTACGTAAATGTAAATCAGTAAAATGTTAATTTGTTATTTTGTATAACTTAAATTATTTGAGACTTTCGTTCTCATTTGCTGTGAATTATACAAAATATTTGGAAAAATTAATTTTTGCAAGGTATTTTAATTATTACTTTGATCGTTTTCTGGTCACCTACTTTTGTGGCATCACATGCTCATACATGATCGAGTACTTACGCTTCAAAATAGGTTTACGTAGCAAAAAAAGAATATGAACGACAATCGATGTAAAATTTTGTCAGGACATTGTTCATTAAGGGTGTTCGTTTAGTTTTAAAAATTTGTGTCATTTTCAATGGAATACGAAATAGAAATGGATCCACGGAAATTAATAATATTCTAGAACATAATTCAAATGAGAGGAAGTTTCTTGAGAATCACCACTTACGTGAGTACGTATATACATATAGTCGGTGGAAACAATATACTGTGGTGTTTAGAACGGTGAAATTAAACAAAATTGACGCTATTTATAACTGTAAGAAGGATTAAGACATCTTATCAGATTCATTTTTAAATTACTTTTTTTTAATTATGACTGTTTCAAGGGGGAAGAAAAACTTCCTTCTAATTTTCTTTTTTTGCTTTTGCAATATAAGTGCATTAACTTCTTAAACTAGTACAAAATTCAGCTATAAGTATAATATTTGTATTTTGATCTTATTGCCCAGTCGCAACAATGTAATTTACTCTTTAGCAACTACACATGCGACCTGGCAACTTCAAACCCCGATATTTCAAGAACCGTTGGGAATTCGAGAAAAGTGAATAGAATCATTTTTGCTTAAAATTAGTCATAGAATTCATATACGAAGTATACCCTGGCGGCCACCCTGTATAACCAAATACCCTCTCCTCTCTGTAACGTAAGCACCAGTCGGTCCTGTCCTCGGAATATGCATAATGCATATGTATATTATAAAAATTGGTACGATTGAGAACGAATGACTAAGTGATTGAATGGTATGAAGAGAGTGCATGATAACCACTGCGAAGAACGACCGAACGACAACGAACGTTCAAGAATTGTTCGAAAATAAGAGCCCCCGCAGACTGCAGACTTTCTATTGGCCGATAGTTTGGTCGGGTTCTTAATGAGTATGAAGATGTATGCAAGTGCGCATATTACAACATATTACATAATTATTACATAAATAATTATTACATAATATTTATTACATAAATAAGTTTGACGGGCTACACGATTGCATTTAAACTAAACTATCCATCTCTTTCCACCCTGTTTCTTCTTTCACCAACCCGAGTATTTAGTTGGCCCAGTGTGTGCGTTAACAGACCAACCCGACCAAACTATCGGCCTATAGAAAGTCTGCAGTCCGCGGGGGCTCTAAGGGTCATACAGGGCAATAAACACCTATTGTAAGAAATTCCGAGAATCTGCTTGGCAACGGAAATCTTGTCAAATATTTCAAATAAAGGAATGTTTTCGTATACGTGTTAACGCGTAAACTATTGCCAAAATTGTTAAATAATTATCGTCGTGGATCATCATCCTTTCTACCATGCAAATCTATGCACTGTATTAATATCACCGATGTAACATAATACTATGGCAAGGGTCACTAGTGAGGGGCACTATGAATGTAATATAATTAAATAATTTAAAAAGAATTAATAATTTTGAAGAATGTATTTTACTAAAAAGTTTAAAAGAAAAAAAAGTTGAACAGTCATATCTTTACCAAATAATATGTCAATTTTCACTCCGAAAATTATTATATTAATATTGCATTGAAAATTTATCTTAATATATAATATGAAATATTTACAGATTACCTTCTTTCTTGTAATAAATCAAAACACTGTCCACTCTACCTTATACCATATACCGATGATGTTTCCACCGACTGTAATTCAATGGTTCCCACAAAATCCAATTGTTTTGTAAAAAGTTTATAAGAGCAACTAAAGAAGCAAGGATTCAAGAGGAACAAGGTGAATGGGCGGCAATGAAAGCAAAGAATAAATTAAACCAACAAAATAAATACAATGTATTGTTACATCAACATACGCCACATGCTGATCGTGGTAAATACGACAAGGAAACGGAAAAAAGAAAATCTGAGAACTTGACGATTCTAGCGTAGCATCATCGACAAAACTAGTGCACTAAAATACAGCAAAAAAAAAGAGAAATAGAACAAAAAAAAAAGAAAAATAAATTTTCAACGCGGGCATTTCAAACACAACGATGGGAAACGCGGATGATCACGTTGAAAAACGGTAGCGCACGTAACTATACATTGAACTTATGTACAGTTGGTGGAAACAATATAGTGAATGTGAAGAATCTTGATAGTAATTCAATTATACAAGCAGGTGAATATTTCTGAGCTTGATATATGGTAATACTATATTGTTTCTACCAACTATACATTCGCCTCTATACGCAAAGAAACACACACGTAATGCCCAAGACATGATATACGTGTGTACATATACATATGTACATATCTGTATATAGTCGATTGTAAACACACATAAGACATACGTACACAAGATACACGCGCGTATAAAGTTTCTACAATGCGCACGAATTAATTTGCGTTTTGGTGATGGAATTTGGTTTATTTTTTTGATTTTATTTCACGATCGTTTTCGTGATTGGTCGATTCTCTACGTAACACGAAATCTATTTCATTGTGATAGAGTTTTCGAACGACGATCTCTTTTTTAATAAAATTGTGAAGTGACTGTTGGAACAATTTATAAACCTAAAATAAGTTTTATTTTTTATAGTTTATAGAAATTAAAGAATAATTAGTTTTTACCCGTTTGAATGCCATGTAGCGCGATTTTGCCGTTATCTCGGTTCAGTGGACTTAATTGACCCCACCTTAATGCACTTTTAATATTATACTGTTGAACAAATTGATTGACTTAGAATATTAAATATCGTATAATAATTGACAGAATTGTAAATATAAAAATATTGCTGCTTGGCATTTTACAAACGGTCAATTTTATCAATGATTAAATGACTGAAAATGAGAAATGATCGTCTTTTGATTGGTTCGTAACACATACTAGCGTGTTGCGTTTCAAATGATCACACATTGAAAAGCACCAAGGAAAACGAACGCGGTGGGCGCACAAATCTAAAATTAAGAAAAAAAAACATAATAATAATAATAATAGAGAAAAAACAAAAAACAAGATTTACGAGAGAAAAAATAAACAGCAAAATAAAATACTCTAAATTTGCTAACATTGCAAGAACAATATATATATATATATATGTGGGTGTGTGTATCCGTAAAGTGTTTAAAACAAAAAAAAATAAGGAGTTATATAAACTAGCGATAAATGAACAATAACAATAGCAATGGTAATTACAGCGATGGTATATGACGAATAGGATCATCCTGTTTCATTCAATAAACATACATATCTAATTGTATTTAACGTCAGTTAAATTATCCATACGAATCGTGTATGTATCTGATGTATAGTCAGTGTATAAATTGATCAATGTTAAAATAACAATAGGACCGATGATTATTTCGAGCCCACTATATCTTCGAACTCAACTATACACTTACAGTGAAGAGCAAAAATAAAGTATCATAACCAACAAACTGGATATAATGAAGTTAATATATTGTTTTTTAAACTGAAATAATTGTAATATGTAAAGATTGAGTTTTTAGTACTCGAATATTAATTTTCTGAGAGAACAGTATAATTCGTATAGTTTGGCTTTGGCTCTTCATTGTAACTATAGCAAAGTTTATATATGAATCTTGTACATAAAAATAAAATTTGGAAATTTGTACAAGAAGGTTGGCTCAAGATCGCGCTGTATTTATTCCACCGACTATACTTCAACTCTGATTGAAAATTTTAAAATACAATATAATCAGTGTCGCCACTTGTATATCATAATATACAACTATAAAATTGTAAAAATAATCATTTTAAGTACATTAACAAGTGATCCATTTGTCTGTTCGAACTTTGGAGTTTGGTAAAAATCGACAGAAAAAATTTGATATTGCACTGCGATTGAAAATCATCAATCGCTTAGCTTCACAATGATAATCAACAAAAGCAAAATACGAATAATCGTTAACACCATTTTTACAAAGTGCGAATAATAATAATAGTAAATATAAAAATAATAATAATAATAATAATAATATAGTTTTACAATATACCACCAAGAATCATATCTAATAATAATTACGTCATATAATATTAATAATCTATCAACATCTATAGCGAATAAATTGTAATAATAATAATAATAAGGGTAACGATAGTAAATTGGTAAAGTGGGATAATAGCGTAAATAATAATCATAACATAATGACGGTGCAAAAATAGCAGCACTTTTTTTTTAACAATGAAATTATACGCAGATGCTGAAGAGGATGCAGTTGAAAAGATGACACGAACATTATAAAATGTTGATAATATTAATTCGTAAATGTTACTTCTGACTAGGCTCCATTTGTATTCACATGTAAACAAACGAAAAGACTTAAGAACGTGTTACGTGTGTTACATTCTCGCACGAGATGTTAATCATTGATTAACGGCTGAACGTGTGTTTCAGAGAATCATTAGCCGTAAATGATGCGTAAGTACATCGATTAATTAAAGAGACGTCTTTGGTAATTGGCACGGAGCTGGACGCAGCTTCATTATTACAGGATGATCCATCTTATTGTTAGACGGAATGTAGGATCATTTTGACCCAGTGTGTACTCTTTGCAATGTGTATATATACTTTGTTATACTTAAATATATTTTCAATTTTATACACAATTATAATAACATCGTTATGGGTCAAAGTGACTCTATATTCGACTACCGCTTCAATCGACAATAAAGGTATTTTTTGTACTTTTTTAAAGTAAGAAATTTTAATGTTTATTATTCATGGGTCAAAGCTATAGTGTAACTTTTAAAATTTACTAAAATGCCCAAATCAACTTCCCCATTAAAAAACCAGATAACCATAAAATTTGAAAGTCAACTAATTTCAGTAATTCGAAAAGAATGATCATTGATAGAAAATCATTTGTCTGCTCCATATGTTATGGACCATCCTGTATAATTCACCCATTTTCTACATAAACCCGTAAAATATTATATAAGCGTCCGTTGCCCCGTTCATTTGGTTTGACGCGTGCTTGTAAATAATATTCTGTTAGTTTTCAATGCATCTGCAGGCTTCCAGGGGATTTAATGAAACAGGCTATATGACTATTAATTGAAATTGCAACGAACCCTTTGATAACGAAGGTGAAAAGGGAGAGTCGATGAAAGGAGGGAAATCAGTGATTAGAAAGAGAGCCAGCCGTGAACATCTAATACACTCCAGCTGTTTTCGCGTTCGATGATCAAGAATTATTGTTTAACTGCATCACCAAGACAAATTTTCTGCAAGAAATACATCTTTTTCAACCCAATCTTGTATGTTGATAACAGCCGTTCCTCCTGCTTCCCTTTTGAACAAGCTGTACCGGTATAAAAAAATAACTTGATTATATTTCGTAAAGAAATTTGTCTTCTTAATACAGTTCAATCACAAAACTGAAATACTCTTTGGATTCTTTTACTTAGTTTTCTTCTTCTTCATCTTAGTAAGCTGTACCCTTCTGTTAGAAGAGTGTGCTATTATCGTTTGGCCGATTTTCAGCCATTTCTTTATAAATAATGCACAGTACCAAGCAGGTAGGATTCCCTAGGAAAAATGGCGCAAAGCCTTATTCTCCTAGGAAAGCCTGTGGTGCGTCGTACTGTACATATATCAAGATACTTGAACATCTGATATACACTGGCAATGATAAAAATGTAAGGAACATGTAGAGACTGGATTGAACATATTTTTCAAAATTACCAGCAATCACTTCTGGGCTCTCCATATTTTTCCTTTCCTTTAGGTACTTACACCTCTTTTAAGTTATGTTTACATTGAACTTAAGTACCTCCAGCACTATTGGTGAGTTAATCTTGCATCAGTAACGGCGACTGATAGCCATCCAATACACTAAAAACATGAAATCTTCTTAGAGGATCTTGTTTCTAGCTAGCTGATAAAAACTTAAACGCTACACAGACAAAGAACAATGTTAATGAAGTACAAACATGTTAATATATTTTCTCACACATTTTCGTAAAATCGTTGTATTCGTCGGATACAGCGCAACAGAATTTGTTACTGACTCAAGATTAATTCGTGACAATTAAGCGCTCGCCATTTTTCTGGCGATCGAAATATTTTCCTTAAATTTTTCCAGTTTCTTCTCTTATCATGAACAAAGAGTACAATGTACCACTTTTTGTTTTCTGTACATTCGTTTAGGTTCGAACATAATAGAGATCATATAAGACGCGTGAATCGTAAATACCCTTTTGGTACAGATGAGAAAAATAAAGAAAAGCAAAAGAACGATCGCGTGCACGCTAGTGAAGTGACACTGATGAAAAATTTTGTTTTTTCAAGTTTGGATTTCTCCATCGTTAAGTTTCTTATGCCACGCTTACTTTATCATACACACTTTAAAAAGCGACCCTAGTCCAAAACCTATGTACGGTACAATGTTATCACAAAGTCATTAAAAAATGCTATTTATGTATCATTTTCTCTACTCTTCTTTTGTTTTCTTGCTTCAGTTGTGTCTTTTTTTTTGTTTGTTTTTGGTTCTTTTTTTTGGTAATTTTTACACCATTATCTTTACAAGGTGCATCGGACTTGACCGACTTACCGTGTTCCTTAACACGTTTCGATTTAGCAGTGTTTTTTCGCTTGGTTATCTCATTGTTTCCCTACGCATTCTCTATTATTTAATCGGCACATCATTAATGCGTCTTTTATCTACATATGAACAGGCGTTTCGCGACGCTGACAGCGATCCTGAAAGTGAGCCGATAAAATCGCTTCTCAGTCGGTAATCAAAACAGTGTTCTCAATATAATACAAGGTACACACCGTTCCGTTTCACAAAACGAGCATACAATTGTCCATTTTTAACGGCTAGTTAGTGATTGTACGCAAACATTTCTTACACTAGAGGTCCACGGAGAATTCGTTGCGATCTAAAGCTGATATTTGTTCTCTTTATCTCTTTATTCGTATTAGTTGCACAGCAGACTAACAGTGGTAGATTGGCATTACGAACTATTTTTAAATTCATCAGCTTTAGATCGCATCGCTCGCGTGCATACGCACATTTTCGTACATACACATACACAATTAATATGGGCATGTGTACGTTTGCAGATACTATATAAGGTGTTTCATACATCCGAGCTAAGCTACACTTATAAAACCATAGAAGGAAAAGAATTTTATTCACATTTTTAAAACCATTTAATTTCGTTTAACGAAATACTTTTCCACCTTCTACTATCTCCGAGTTATGACTTGGCCCAGATACGTGAAGCACCCTATATGCAGGTATACAAGTACGCACGCATGCGCACATACAAAACACAGTGGTTGACCCACGATGCTTCCGCTTCGCTACTCTTTACATCCGATTTTGAACGATGCCCGCGACAACGCGAGATCAAGCATTACTTTTCCCACGACGATCCCTCATTCCGTTTCGTGCACTTCGATTAATTTCTCACTGACTTGGTCCTGGGTAAGCTGCCCGACGTTCATCAAAGGGATTCTTCTCTATTGTTTTATTACACAGAGCAGCGGGTCACAATTGGTGGCGCAATGACGTCCACGATCGACAATCAGTGCCATCTATCCCGGTTAAATGGAACAGACCAAGCGCAGTGGCAACCGGTACATGAAATAAAACGTGGAGGTAGCTCGTAGGTGGATGGATTCGTTCGAGGAGTTTTTTGTTCTGCTGGATGGTGGTGTAGGAAAAAGAAGGTATTACGTGTTGGGAGCAGAGTAGGCGTCCGCTTCTTGCGAGAGGAGCGAGAGCGGGCAGATGTGTACAGGCACCGACAGACATAGAATGACTGATCAAGAGGCTGACCAAAGGAGTCGTGACTGATCGACAGATGGACTTGATCGACTGATCGATCGATTGAACGATTGATCAATTCAACTGACTGAGACTGACATGGCACGGCGACTCCGATCGAGAACACGGTCACAACGTCACAGGCCACCTGCTGGCACACAAACAAACACACGGACAGGTTAGTCACCACCACACACCAGATATATAGGATCCCCGGGCAAACGGGCACGGTGACCATTTTATAAACTCACAACGGCACTGTTTTCACGATTTTGGTAATATTATATAATAAAAATGTCAGGAAGTTACGGGAGGATAGGATTTTAACAAAGATACAGAATACTGTGCAATGAAGTCACCGTGCGACGTGTGCACAGGTAGTTTGCCGATACGTCGCTTTCAGAAAGAAACGACAAGAATCTATTTGATTTTGTCAACATTTAAATTCTAAAGACTAGAAAATACTGATAAGTTTCGGTGATTCTTGTTGCTCCTCCCACACCACTGTGATTCATCGATATTTTTTTGTTTAACAATAAATACTAAGTGTACAGATTAATGTAGTGAAAAAAGAAATTGAAGATTTATTTATACAAAATAGCACATATATATCTTTGCTTTATTTATCGATAGTAGATATTTAATACCTAAAAGCGCGGTAGAATATTTAAATTTGAAATCATCATTGATAAAAGGCACCAAATTAATTAGTACACTTAATAAATAACAGGAGACTCTTAAACGTCTTATGAAAAAGCTAATCGATGAAACACATTCGAGAATGGTGATGCCCGACGGTCGGCGACATCCCAGAAAAAAAAGAACACATGGCGATGTTAGTACTAACAACTAATAAAGCGTCATAGCGTAAATTAACCATCAAACTTTAAGAGATATTACTATCACGATAGAACGTTTCAAGTTCTGTGCCCTGTACAATAAAAACGAGGGACCAGTTCGCGAAAATGGTGGTATAATTATAATAAAATAAATTAGTGAGGTAGATCGTTGTGGTTTCATTCCCACCTGACGGTAAGACAGTGCATAATGTAATCGATGAAGTTCGTGTTAACTGAAAGAATATAAATATCTATATATGTATATATATATGATACAATGTACATACACGTGTATATAAATATATTAAAGAAACAAGAAAAGAGAAGCAAATCATAGAAAAAAAAACAACAACAGAAAACAGTTTAGTTAACGTACCACTTACGTTGCGTGAAAAAACTCAAAGCGAAACTACTACTTATATTCTTATCCTGAAGTAAGCTACGGTAAATGTTAGTGAAACTTCACGTACGTAATTCCATTTTGTGCACAAAAGTTAGCACAGAAAGCTTGATTGGCAGCCGTTTGCAACGAAATGATTCTTTCATTATATCACTGACGTGAAAAGTGGGGTAGGGCTGTGAAGGGCTAAAGAGCAGACTTGCACCTTCGAGAATTTGATAAATCTGCCATTTTGCACGATTAAATACAGACATATTTTGCCAGAGCCATGTTTGTGCTTCTAAGAAAACAGAATGCTTGCCCTGAGATACTGTACACCAAGAAATACCCAACTTTGTTTTTAGATACACAAGTAGACCTGAACGCGTTAAGGAGCTATTGCAATATTGTCACTTCTAATTTATACATTTTTTTAAGGTAATAACAATCTCTATTCCAATAAAAGTTCATTATCTTTTTACGTTTTCACTAATTAATGAAATAATTAAAAATAACGCTTATTAACCCTTTTGCTACAACGTGCGATTATAGTCGCTCGCTTTCCTACACACTCCATATCTGTCTCTGAACCTGTAGTTTCAATTTTTATGTGTTTTCTCTAATATCATTTATTAAGAAATTATAAATCCCTCTTTTATGGAAAGTTTCCTCCCCAGAATATCATTTAAGCAACTTTAGTTGCGGTAAGTTGTAAATTTAGTCGTTGACAACTGTCCTCGAATAATGTATACACTTTTAATAATGTATACGTTCAGCGCGAACATAATGGCGGAGAGGCCGCTCGTAGCGAAAGGATTAAATATGTAATTTATTAATCATACTTTCTTCGTGTACAGAATCAATGACAACATTGTTTAGAGACAGTTACCAAAAAAAATTAACAACGTATTAAAAACATTCTCAACAGTCTATATATGTTAATTGAATACATATACTGCAACATTTGCACTGGTGCTTCAGAAAGCCTAAAAAAAAATAAAATAAAAAAAAAAAAAACAGGAAAAAAGCTATAAACAACTTTACTGTGGTGTCTTAATCGAAAAGAAACCAGACAGTTTAGAGAGTCATCACTGAAAACTTGTATTGTTTTATTTGTGGCGAGCGAGGTTCTGAGTCTGAAGAACAATAACACGTACATTACCACGAAATACAGGTACAACGAGACACGAAGAGAACGTAGATAAAGTTTCGGGTACAAAAATACCAGAAAATATATGTGTATATATGTATATATATGGACGGACTAACAGATAAAAATGAAAAAGAGAGATAATACGATATCTCAAGGAACGGTAATGTAAAGTCCTTTGGAACAACTATGACGGTATAAGTCTTCATCATTATCACAGCCTCGTTTTGGAAGAGTTTTAACATAAATGTTTAACGATAAGGATACCAATTGTCTCTTTAGCGTCTAAAGGAAACAAATGTCCCTATCGAATGCCTCCACATGGAAAAATACTGTTTAACTAGAGATAGTTCTTGGGAGCAATGCCTTCTGGGCGTTTGTCGTCGGATTAAACGAAGAACCTAACCTATCTACTCAAGTCGCGACTTATCGAGTACGTGAACATGGTATTTTGATTAAGGACACCAAGGTCGTTGGATTTGAGCCGTGGTATCCGAGAAGTCCTTGGTATCTACCTACGAAAGGTGGGCGAGGTCGGCTAGTAGGGTTTCGACGCATCCTTGGATCGTTTCAGCTGGACCTTAAGCCGCTTCATGCCGATCTGGAAGCCGTTCATCGCCTGGATCGCTGCTTGCGCGCTCGCTGCATTGTCATACGACACGAAGCCTGCGAATAATTTACAATTATTTTGTAGAATGTTATTATTCAGATACTTTAACACGTTCGAGCCCGTTTGAACAGATCTACTCATATCAGGAATCTTTAAAAAGTTATTAAATCATTCGAGTCAAGCTGCACCTGTTACATCGGGTTCGAATGTGTTAAAATATACTTCATTATTTATTAGTTCAGATCAGATTTTTTAAAAATTCATATACCACTCATATATGGATAATATAGCACAATATGACAGTTATAGACTTAAACACTTACAGAAGTATGAAAAGTACCTGTGTGAGATGTTTTACATTTATCATATTGTGCTGAACACGTTCGAGCTAAACTGAATATATCTACCCAGAAGTGGCTTCACCTTATCTGGGCCGAGCTACAACTGTTACTCCAGCTTCGAACGTGTTAACTCTTTTATACAACACATATTTCTTGTTTATTTGGGTTATAATAGTAATGGACACTGTAGTAGTAGCTTTGTAAAATTATATTTAAGTACTTTTTAATCTATGTGACCTAAGTATCCTTGCACTATTCGAAACTATCCAGTACTACTTGAATGCCAATTTTACTTATAAGCTTTTTGTAATTTATATGAATTGTGATACGGAGATATAAAATTTTTGTAATTATGGGTGATAGACTCTCATACTATAATGTCCACTGTACGAAGTTTAGCAGAAACTCCTTGTAGTGAACATCCTCAGCTAAAAGATTACAAATAGAGATAGAAGTTGATGTGGTGGCGTCTTACCGAAGCATTTGCTCAATTGCGTCTGTTTATCGATGAAGACTTTGGCGGAAATGACGTTCCCAAATGGCAGAAACGTTGTGACAAGGTCAGTATCGTTGAACTCCTGTGGTAGATGATAGATAAACAGGTTGCAGCCCTCGGGACCCTCAATCTGCTTGTCCGTGTTGGTGAATTTTGCCTTTTGCGCTGCCGCCGCAGCCGCAGCTGCTGCCGCTGTGAACGCTGGGAACCCTGGAAACACGACGTTTATCATCGTGAATTCCGTGTCCCTTTTCAACGGATCTACGCACTGCTTGCTTGCATCCCACGAGATTCGCATTTCAAATAGTTCGACACTCAATGACCAAACAATTATATACAGTGTGTTTACTTTAAATACATACACTTAATTATAGTACATTTGAAAACGAAGAAAGTAATACTAGAATGAGGTATAGGCATATTTTTCAACGTATTTTGATGAATAAATGTTCTTTTGTTTCCTCCTTTCCAATTATAGCTTATGTATTTTTTACGCATTATGCAAAGTAAGAATGAATTTGGTTTATTTCTTTGTAAAACAGAATTTTTCTTCATTCAGATACAGGGATATCCATATTAAGGATCAGTAGGAGCGACGAACAGTGGTTCAGATCGAACAATTAGCTGTTCATTTGCTAAAAAATCAATTTCCTTATATCGATATTTATCGAATGTATTTTCGGTAATGTATTTTATATGTCTGCCACTTTCGCAAATTATGTCGTTAATGAAATTTATTAACGATTGTGATTAGAACAAGCGTTTAAAGATCATGTCACGTAGGCAGAACGTTTTATCAAAGATGCTTCCTTTCAGATAAACTTTTAACATCTGGAAAGGAAAACTCTCAGGCAAACAGACCACTTGCTCTTGAAATGAACAACAGGCTCAGCGATAACAGAACCAAGTGTTATGGGAAAGCAATGGGTCACTGTAATCGCACTCTAAACATCACCGAACAGACGGGCCCAGCCCGATTAGTTAAATAGTAACCAGATCACCCTTTCTCATTAGTATATAAACCCGTTCGTACCAACGCTCTTCGGTCAGTACCAAAAGTCATCTTGTGTCGAGAACTTCGTGTACGAACGTGAGCTGGTTGCTAGTTAGAGAGATCGGATTAAAGTCCCCTTCAAGCATAGTTAACCTTATAGAATCCGCGAAATCGAGTCAGTGTTTCTATGTGGTATAATAATCAACCACACACACAACACCCTGCATTGCCAGTGCGTCAAAACCGAGCATACTGCGGAGATAGGTAATATACACATTACACACCTAATCCGCGACAAGAACAATTGTAATAGACTGAATTGTAAAATATACATTACTGTGTCAACCACACATTAGCATCATACTTTTAAAACCCGGTGAAACTAGTGACAGTTCTCACAACAATACAACCTAACCGCTCGGGTTGTATTGACTTTAAAATAATGTAAGTTCCGCGGCCTCTTGTCCGAAAGCCTCTGCTAGCCACACGCGCTGCTAAGCCGTCGGCCACGTAACAATCAACATTTCATAAACACCTTTTTTCAAAGAAAATATTTTCCTTTGTTCTGATTGGTACCCTACAAAGTCTATTTAATCTTTCGTGTCCATTTTTTTTTTTACAAATAAAGGGTATTTGTCTATAATAAGAATGCACTTTAAATTAGGACTTTTTATTCATAATTTATTGAAAAAAAAAAAAAAGAAAAATATTCAGTGGACTAAAGAAAATCGTCAGTTTTGCATAATTCGCATAGATTATCTCTTGAATTCCAAGCCTTTTTTCAAAGTGGAGTATTTTCATCATACCTTTCTCTATATAATCATGCTAGAATCACGTCCCATTTCCTCTCATAATGAAAATTATTATTGTTTAAAACGTAGCCGTTACCGGAACTGCGTGATGTGTTAAGAGGCTACTATAAAGTTCTACATTAGATAATTAACATTAAATAATAGATTTTGGATTTTAAATGATAACGAAGAAAATAAGACTGAACTTTCATTTAACAGAGTATAATCCACTAGTAGAGTAAGTAGTTTAATGAAGAATAACGTGAGAATTAAAGCATATCTTTCACACAAATTTTATTAATGTTATTTTCACTGAAAGATATATGTGTAAATATTGACACGTAAGTGGACATATGGACCAAAGCTGGTTCGAAGTCCAACTTCTTTTATTCTTTTTTAAATTTAAAAAAAAAGCGCAGAGCAATAAATCAATTTTCATTTTTTCGTTTTATTGCTTTTCTTATATTACAAGTATTATCGTTTGGTTAATTTCTACCACATTGCACTATTTTATAATATTATTGTCCTACGTTGAAAATCTTAATATTCACAGTAAATAAAAATGCAATATTTTCAGATAGATAATAATCAGAAACAAAAGTTCAATACTGAATTATTACAGCATCGATTAATATAATTTTCTTTTAATTCTTATAAATATTTCAATAAATAATTAAATGTATGTATTTAAATATTGCATACTGCGTAAATATAATACAATATTTTTCTTCTACAAGCAGTATTTATGAATCCTTATTTAAATCTGCTAGTTGTGTTTTATATTTTCTATAAGAAAAATCTTTTTTAATCTGCGTATGTCGTGAGCTGGGATTTGTATGTACAGCGGTGGTCATAAACTTACATACAAGATGTATTTTAATTTTACTTCGTTCCATGAGATAGTAATGGTTGGAATGACATTAAATTTTTATTAGCTTTGAAATGAAGTTTTTATTTATTACTGTTAAATAAGAAAATTTTTAAATGTACGTATAATAATTAAAACTTTTATTTAGAAAAACAAATTAGAACATTAGATTTTAAACATAACCTCATAAAAAAGTGAAATGAACAAACTTATTGAGTTGCATAACTTCTTTATGAATTCAGCTACTTCTTTTTCATTTCAAATACATTAAGATCAAATACATCAAGAAAGATTTGAAAAAATTGTAAATGAACTATTTTGATTAAAACATCAAATAGTATTGTTTTTAGTTTCTACAGAAACCTTTTATTTATTATTAGATTTTATAATTCTTATTGCTAAGCAATTTATATTTCTTTGTTTTTTTTGGTCATTTTATTTCGAGGTAATGTACGTAAGCATATGACCCCACTGCTGTACACCCGGGTGCAACATAAGCTTCTTTTATAAGGGCAAGTGTAAAGGAAGAGCTGTCACACTACTTGCTTTAATCGTCCATATTATTTATGTGAGAGGACATAAATTTAAATTAGGTTCTTCCTAGGCCAGGCATGCGCATGAAAATGCCAGTAAGGCCACAATAGCGCCTGCCCCCGTACACCTTCGAGCGACCGTGTCTGTTTTATCACTGTCCTAATCCTTCTAAGATTTTCACCCGCCTGAAGGCAAATACTGGGAGGCTTCTGTCTCCACCATCTTTTTTACTCAACAGAATCCTATGTTGCACCGAAGTGTAGATTTGAATATTTGATTACGTGCAAACAGTACAACAGGATGCACTCCTGCATTACACTGTACAATTATTACTAAAGATTCAGGCATTCCACGTCGTGTTTAGTTACTCACTATGTAATTCTTTCTTTTCCACGGTCACCGTCGTCTTTCCAATGAGAGCTTTAAGGCGCACAGTTACTCGTTAGAACACTTTTTACCAACCATGTGCAAGTAAACAATTACCATTTTGCCATTTTATATCAAATACATTTTAGTGAAAAACAATTAGCTGTACTAACCTGCATACTGTTGTAAGCTGGAGTAAGCGTTGCTCAACGAGTCCTGCAATCCGTTCAAAGGTGTTCCCGTTAGAGAATTGAGCGCGAGGGACGTCACAGGACTGAGGCTACCTCCAGTGGACCCTTTGAAATTAAAATAAACAGGATTTATATTTTCGTAGATTCAGCGACTATTCAAATTTCTACAATTTTAGTCAAGATTAAATCGCTCAATTTTTGGAACGGTTTTTTAATTGACATGCCTCATGCCATGACATGAAAAAAAAGACAAAACGTAACTTTCACTATCGGTTAGATTATATTATAATTGTTAATAATATGGTAGCAAAACCAAAAGCGGTTTGTAAATTGTTTACAAAAGTACAGTCGGTGAAATAATGTAGTGCAAAAGCGATTTGACAATAAATATTTGAATTTAAAGTCAAATTTAATTCTTATTATATTTTCTACGTATAGTTATAATTATTGAAGTAGATAGATAGGGGCCAGCAGGGACGGCCTGGATTTCTCAAAAATGTGGATTGCACCCTTATTATTTCAAAAATTTCAAACGTTAACAAATTTTAAGATTCTATAATTCTAAAAGGGTATAGCCGGGTAAGGTAGATAAAATGGCCGTTAAACCAAATTAAATTCAGAATGCGTCATTCAATAGCATATCAAAAGAAAATACTGTATACCAATTTTCAACCCTTTATCTTAACCAGGGGGGCAGTGAGGGGGGGGGGGGGGGGGGGGGGGGGCAGAAGAGACGCCGGATCGTGCCCCATTTCTCCTATTTAATAACATCCGAAAATTCTGAAAAAATTCTGATACACTACAAACACGGTAGCGCTTATTAGGGAATTTTTTTAGATTTTTTCATTGCAAATCCTAGTTGTAAAAAATGAAAAACCGAACAAACAATCTGAAGGAACACGATTTGTTATTGAAAATGTAAGAGAACTACTTTTATATTACTGTGCTTACTATAGCTATTACCCTTGAATTTTTTCAGATTTTTTGTTGTGGTGCAACGTAGTTAAAAGAATCAAAAACCAATTATTTCGCATCGTTACTTTCGAAAAAGTAACTTCTACTTTGAATTTTTATTTCCTGTTTTTTTCAGAATATGTATTAAGTACTTTTAAATGGATTCATATTCATATTCTAAAGGAATATGGAAATAAAGGAAATAAAAATTCAAAGTAGAAGTTACTTTTTCATGCGAAATAATTGGTTTTTAATTTTTTTAACTACGCTGCACCGCAACAAAAAATCTGAAAAAATTCAAGAGTAATAGCTGTAGTAATATGTTATTACCACAGTAATATAAAAGTAGTGCTCTTATATTTTCAATAACAAATCGCGTTTCTTCAGATTGTTTGTTCGGCTTTTCATCTTTTACAACTAGGATTTGCAATGAAAAAATCTAAAACAATTCCCTAATATGCGCTACCGTGTTTGTAGTGTATCAGAATTTTTTCAGAATTTTCGGATGTTATTAAATAGGAGAAATGGGGCACGATCCGGCGTCTCTTCTGCCCCCCCCCCCCCCCCCCCCCCCCCCCCCCCTCACTGCCCCCCTGGTTAAGATAAAGGGTTGAAAATTGGTATACAGTATTTTCTTTTGATATGCTATCGAATGACGCATTCTGAATCTAATTTAGTTTTAGGGCCATTTTATCTACCTTACCCGGCTATACCCTTTTAGAATTATAGAATCTTCAAATTCCTAAATTTCAAAAGTCCAAAATTCAAAAATTCTTAAATTCAAAAATCCTAATATGGCGTTAATGTTGAAACATAATTAATACTAGACTTAAAAATCAATTAGTAATTAGTGATAACGAAAATATAACAAATTATAATCAACAATAAAATTATTTTAGACACAATATTCCATAGCAATCGTAATTTGTCAATGTTTTTTTTTCTTAAAGCAGTGTAACACGGAGCTCACCAAACACGAATATTTTTACAATTTAATTATTTTAACACCTATAATACAGCACACACGAATTAAAGCTTAATTAAGACACAGTTAACAAATATTGGGTGAGCTTCGTTCCCTCGTGATTACAAATCAAATGAGCAATAAAGATGTATAGGAAATAGGAATGAATATAGCAAATAATGGCGCGAAAATGAGGGAAGGAAAAAGTGTTCTTACCTGTATTTCCGGTCTTTCCAAGAAGGACAGCTACGCACGGAAAGACGTGTACGTTAAAGTGCGTTCTCATGAAAGAAAAGAAACAAAAAGGTGCACGCTACACGGCCAACAATGTTCGACCAATTCCATTAAACGGCAATGATTAATAATAAAAATAAAATCGTGCCGCGTAACGAGGCAACTAAAGAGCATCTCGTTTGAACGAACTTTATGAATTGTTGACTATTCAATCTCGTACGTAATTAATTTCATTGAAACGGTTATTTTGCTACCCTTTGCTGGAAATAATCGTCCAGTGCACCGGCGAACGCGACGAATTCAACGGTATTGAAATCAGAACGTTTCAAAATGAAAGGGGAGGCGAAATGAAAGGGAAATAGAGATATGGTGGAATCTACACGTATACATATATGCATGTACAATTTTGGAGTACACCTATACGAGAACGATTATTAATTAACAAATTTGGGTGTACACTCTATGTGTACTGCTCATAATAAACGTGAATATTTATAATATTGAATAGAAATAGTCAATTTTTACAGGTAACTTTGCAGATATCTCAAAATTAAAGACTTTTTAGGTGTGTTGCACTTTTAGAAAACCGATGATATTAGTAATGAGTCGTCCTCGTATATGCACCCAATAATGTACTCATATAAGTTCAGTATTTATCTCACAAGGAGAGTTTTTTAACTCATATGGGAGGGCAATTTGATGATAGACGTCGATTTTTCTGAAATTTTGCAGGTGCAGAGAGAACTGAAAAATATTATACATGTATTTTTTTAAGGGTTGATGATCATAACTTCTGAAGTAATATTAATCAAGGAACATAAGTACAATACGTATTTTAACTACTATAAAAAGTTTAATTTTCAATCCTTAAAGTAAATATGCGTACCTAACAGAGTGTGTTCACTATTTTTCAATTTTCTGTCGCAGGTTGTAAAAATTTAAAAAAAACCGACGGTAATTATCAACCTGCCTATTCTTGCCAAATTTTAATAAGCTTCTGCATATGAGAGATTATGTTATTATGTATCTCCCCATCTACATGTATCTTTGAATGTAAGTGATCAACAGTTTAAAGAATTTTTAATGTTAAAAGTATATTAGAATTTATCTATTTTATTGGAACAATTCCTTTTAAATAAAAGAGTTTTATAACTTTGTTTTTATCTCTAATCAAATTCTAGATACATAGGTAAATTATGATTTAACTTAAATTGCATATAAATGACAGAGAATAATACTTGTATAACCCTAGGACGACTGATCAAGGAAAGAGTTCCCACTTTTAATGTAATTCTATATTTCATATTATTTTAATTTTCTAAATTTTGCACTGTTCCTTTAAAAATTATTCTTCCAACATATGAAACTCTTTCGTTTAAAAATTATACATTTATTTTTAAGTTAATATTCTTGTATATTTTGTAAGTTTGGATCATGAACGACCCACGTTCCGCAGTTCAAAGGTTAATTTTGTTAGCTTTTGGACAATTCTGTATAAGCACAATAACTAATTCCACTATGGTACGATTTGCGTGCACTCTGTTTATAGAGAATTTCATAATAATATAATTTTCCAAAATGTGTAAAAGCTTATTAAAATGACTGGTTCTTTTGGAATACTCTCCTTGCTGATACCACTTGTGTACGTGTTTGTTGTTTTTTTTCGACAAGGGAATTTGGGGTGGCATGAATAAGATTAGAAATTCATCAGGATGAATTAATTTAGTAATTGTTAATACTATACCAGGCAATGCGACACGTACATAGCGACATACCTGCTGTCGAATTCGCCAGTCCGCTTAACGCTGAAACACAGAACACGTTCACGATATTAACAAGCGGAGTTAGTAACGTGGTTACATATTCAGCACGTAAACTTTGCCGGAATTTACTTAGCCGTTACTCTGCCTGAAATAAGGTACCTGTCCTGCAATATTGGACATCGCTCAAACATTATTGCCGCTGGCTCATCCAGTTCAACTCGGTTAGAAGATCGAATAAGAACATGAATAACAAAGATCTTTGTTAAAGAGAGCGTTAAATAATTATTCCTTACGTGTGACATGTACAGGGTGTTCTAGGAATAAGCAATTATACTTTTCACCATAGTCACATAAGTGATTATAAGTATCTTAAATTATGAAATAAGATATTATTTTAGTGTGTTTGCCTTTCAATACAAATTTTAAGGCTTACAAATAAAATGGGATATTATTTGTTATAACTCATTTCCAATGCTAAGGATTGCTAAAAATATAATAAAAATATATGAAATTTTAATTTCTTTCAAATATCTATTTGACATTGAATACAATGTTAGAGAATTTATTTTAAATTCAGTAATTATTTAGTTTAATTTGAATTTTAAAGAATAACCGTTTTTAAAAAGTTTAGTATCGCTACTAAACTTCTAGTTTAGAAATTTCGGCAAATAATGTTGTTTAAATAATAATATAATCCTTTTTCAGTGTATTTTCTAATTTTTAGCCTGTATTTAAAGATTATACAAATAACAGGATATTATTGCTTTGTGTCTTTTTTATTTGTTAGAATTCGTGGCCAATGTTGAGTATTGTCAAAAGCATAATATTTACAAATTCATGAAACATTAATTTCTTTTAAACATTGATTTAATATTAAATTAAATTTTGGGGACATATATATTTATTATTTAATCGACCTGATTTGAAATGAAATTTAGTACAGTTACTGGAATTTTAATAATCAATTAAATAATAAATGTGTAATTTAGTACCGTAGAGGCAATGAAAAATAATTCAAATCCATTTAAACCTAGATGTTTAAATGTACTCAATTATGTACATATTTCCAAAACACCCTGTAATGTTTTTAAAACCTAAGCAGAATTTCTGTACTCTTAAGGGAATTCTTGTTTTAAAATTTTTGTACGGTACCTAACATGGTAGGTTTCCAAAAAATAGTGGTATAAAAAAAAAGGCGATCAAAAATTCTAAATTCAAAACTACAAAGTAGAAAATGTCAAAGTTCAGTGTTTAAAATTCAAAACTTCAAAATTTAAAACTCAGAACTCAAAATTCAAAATTTCAAAATTTCATAACTCAAAGTTCAGAATTCGCTAGAACGCTAATTTCCTTAGGAAAGTCTATCATACTCGGCACTGTACAATCTATGTTTGGTATTTTAAGTGGTATTTGTTTTGTTTTGCTTTTAACAAAATGAACAGATGAACAGTAAGTAGTACGTCTAGGATCGTCGTTCCAACAAAAATGATAAACAATGGTTAGGCCAAATGCAATTTAGAATACCTTAAAAAAATTATAAATACTATATTTTATTTTTTATAATCCAACACCTTACACAACTATTATCATGTATGATTAGTCACTAATTCAGGGAATTCGAATACTTATGAAACTCACTATATGTTGCTTGGCAAAATGAAACAAGATTACGATGAAAACATTCATCCTCCGAACTAGTTTCATAAATAACTTTCATAAATATTAAACGAGCAATTTCCATAGTTTCCTGATAGGAAAAGTAGTCGCTTTTAGAAAGTAACAGGAAAACTGCTGGCTGATGAGGATAATATTAATATGTATGTAGGTATAACAAAACCGATCAAATTTTTAAAATTCATAAAGTTTTTCACCTTGTTTCAATAATTAATTTGAAAAAATCTTATTCATTTAACGAATGTTTCTTTAGAGCCCCATTTTCATTATACCTATAATAAATATTATGGATTATTAGTAATCTACTAAAAATAAAATTATACTAGTAGCAGGAAAGGTTACCTAATAACAATAACTATATTGTTTAATAACAATCTTGGGATTATGTCCATTAATTAATATGTTATTATATTATAGCACTGATGATATTTAAATTTATGAGAATCTTAATTTCATTTATTTAATGAGAACTTCCATTTTGTTTGATTTTAATAGAAGTATTAGTTACTGTTGGGATGGGTTAACTCGTAAGTAACTTGAAATACTGACTTTAACCCTTCTACCAGCAGAGACTATGTTAGTCATTTATAATTTAACCTTGTGCAGCCCAATTTGTTTTTAATTGATAAAAGAAATTTTTTATTCTTAATTTTTCCTACAATGCAGTGTGAAGAAACTTTATGCTTATATTGCGCTAGCAAAATTGTTATCATATTTACAAACCAAATTTTGTGAACTCTTGACTTTTTGATACATTTAACCCCCGGACAGCGAACCATGCAGAAAGTCACAATTTTAATGTAATTTTGTATTATATATTATTTTTATCTGCGAAATTTCACCTTGTTCCTTTATAAATTATTCCTCCCATATATGAAACTCTTTTGTTTAAATATTATACATTTAACTTTAGGTTAATATTGTTGTTTATTTTGTAAGCTTGGGTTACGATTGACCCAGGCTCCGCTGTTCAAAGGTTCGAAGAAGTGTTACCATATGGCAGCAGTGGGCTGGAAAGGATTAAAATAGAATGACATGAATAACAATTAAAAACAAAAATATTTACGCTGAAAATCATTGTACTGCGTTAGATAATTTAGTACAAAAACATCCTAGTACCGTTTCTGGCTGAGATGATCCTACCGCAAGGGATACAAATCTTTTTTTGATCGTGAAATTCAAAATTTGACGATGACCACCACTGGTTTTTAATAATATTGTTATATACTTAATAACAATATATTATATAACATATAATATTTATAATTCGTGATATTTAGAAATTCACAGGATTCGCCAAAGATGCCATAATTATAATAAAACAGAAGTCAACCTAAAATTAATGCGAAACAAGGCAAACTTTTTCTGTAACGTTTGTACGACTCACACACGTATATGCACATAGAACAAAACAATTTTCACTGGAACGGGTTACCAATTCCGATTAATTATCAGGATTATTTAACGTATTGCAACAAGTGTAAAATATAATACAAACACGTCATCAATTAATTGTTCGAGTCCTTTCTTTCTTCTTTTTTCGTTATTTAACATTTAAGACTGCTTAAAAACTATAATTATATAATTTCATTTATTAATACTAATGAACTATATTACTTACTGGAAGTGAAATTGTAACTGAATTAACAAATTTTGTGGAAGAAGAATGTTTTAATACAATAGTTGCAAAAATAGAATTATGAAGTACTAATCAAAAGAATAATATTAGATACTGAATTGATGTATACATAAAATAATTAATTAACTTTTTAAATATCAATTTACTAAATTTATTAAATTTTTGATGAACTGATTGAAGTTCGAGGTTTTTTGTACAATTAAAATATAATTAAATGAATGTTTTTATCTTTCCATTACTCTTATTCAAATATGAAAGTGTCGTCGGATTTCTCGATTCTTCTGTTTATTCCCATTATCAGTTTGAGGGGTCATTTTCAAATAATTTTTGAAACTAAAAATAATAGACCACGAAACTTGAAATTTAAGAAAAATTACAGTGAAACCTTTGTGCAATTATGCATCATACTAATTAAATTATACCATACTAATTAATTATACTAATTATGTTCTTATATGTTGTTTACGGCATGCTCTAAATGGCTGCCACGAATGTTTAATAATTAATCATCTAATTTATTGCAAGCTTTACATAAATATAAAAAAGATGTCTTCCTAATTTCTCTATGTTTGAGAAAGTTGAAATTTTCATTATAGAACTGATTTTTTTCTACTGACTATTATTTCGTCAAAATATATTGTTTTTAGTTTTATTTGAAGCTGAGACAGTAATCACACTTACACATATAGATGAACATTTTTTTCAATTTTTTTGTTTTATATAAATTCATAACTATGTTCTTGAATCGTGAAAAAATATAAAGTTCGTTAGTCTATTTTTTAGTTCTAAAAATCGTTCAAAAATGACCATTCCAAATAAATGTACCTTCTTGAAACATCGGTTCAAAACAATATTATAATCATCATTTTTGATTAATGAATTTCAATTTAATAGGTACTCGAACGATTAACCGGAAGGAAATCGAGCCAGCTGTTCGTTCTTCTTCAACATGCATGCTGTTACTTCAGGACTAACGTTACATATCAAGCAAATCTCGGCGAAAGCATGCTATTTCCAGGCATTCCCCTACACGAGGGCACAATGCACGTGAATGGAGACTTGATCGCATGTACAACTCCGAGCATGGTTGACTTTTCTGAGAAAAGTAGTGACGTAGATAAAGGAGGTTTAGTTACTTCAGAAGCATCACACATTATGTTTAATTTGTACGACACATTTTTATACTCAACAAACAATAAAATTTTGCTAAGTAAACATTTATGTACAATCGAATGATAGGACTTCCCTCTTTGATACATCGCCATTTTTCCTAGGGGAGCGTACTATGCTCGGTGTTGTACCACGTCTCTATGTCGTGCTATCGTGAAAGTTTTCGCTACTCACTGTTTGGCGACACTTGAAGGTTACCATTTCCGCCAGTCATCGCAGCCAGGGTGACTAGGTTCTGCATACTCATGGGTGACACTCCTGTGTTCGCTGTAAACACCCAATTACAAACGTGAGACGAATGGACTATGAATTCATCATGAAGTCATCCATAACTGCTATTGTTTGTATAAGAAATCATTACACAGGGTGGGCCATTTAAATAAGAATACCTATACGATTTCATTTTAAAAAATGCCACAGACTTTGAACTTTCTGAAGAAAATGACGCGACAGAAAAATAATTTTATGTCCCTGGAAATAATGTAACTGTTTTGAAGACGTTTTCCATAAGATTACAAATAACGCAGATATTTAAATGTCCCCACTTAAATGTTTCAACCTGCATATAATAATTATACAATTATACTTTTTACACTGATATAAAGGGTGTATTACTTCATTTTGTTTGTAAAGATATAACAAATATTTCAGGGAAAGTAATTGTTACTGAGGTGAGAATAATTTTAGTTTATCTAATCCTAAGGTGAATCCTATCTAATCCTAAGTTGAATTCTAAGGTGACAGGTACAACTTGGCGATCATAAGGCGAAGTTATAAATCAACATGCTCGGGCCTGTTTGGGTAAATTTATCCAAATAAGATAAGCGAAAATCGTTAAAGTACACTCGCGATCAAATCAGGTCCCCAAAGATGTCCCGAATCTCCCCCCCCCCCCCCCCGCGTTCCCCCAGAAAATGACCATGTAGCGATAGGAATCGATATACGTATACATATAAGTCTGTGGCTTTCCACCACTTGCAAAAATTGATGTTCACGTGGGTAAGTTGAATTAATATTTATGCACTTATTTATTCCCTCTCTTCAAAATTATCTTATTTTGTTTCTAAATTGCTTTTAATAATAACATCGTTAAAATTAAGAATTTCTATATCGTCATTTTTTCTAGGGAAACCTGTCTTGATCGCGAGTGTACAATGAAAGAAAAATTACCACCTCATGAAATTTTTAAATTTTGTACGAAATATCCCACGAATTGTTAATTTATAAAATACTGTATTTTAAAACTTTTTTGTCAGAATGTTCCAATAAATTAATCTATGTAAAACAAAAATAAAAATCACAATGAAATTTTATACATTTTATAATAGTGTTTCGATTTTTAACCCTTTACCTCATAACTTATTCGGCAGCTGCTTAATTCAGAATCAACATTATATTGTTGCAATGTTAAAATAAATAAAATAAGTTGAAATATTATGTACACTTTGCATTTGGCTATCTTTGACTGTACAAATTATAATTAGAAGAAATTTAAAAGATAAGAACCGACGTTGTCATATTTGAACTTATGTTGCATCATGACTGTGGTAAAGGGTTAGGTATATAGTTTTACAAATAATCCAGTGTTATGTAAGTTCTGCTGTGTCATTAAAAAATCATACGTTTTGCGCCAATAAGCAATAAACATACGTTTTGATGCAGACGCTAATGGCAAGCATCTCTTACGTATGATCCATCATTGCATTGGCGTGTTTCCTGAACCCGTTAATTTTATTATCGCGAAGACAACTGGCAGAAAATACACAGGACAGGTAAACACGATGGCATACTTTGTAATTTTCACTTTGTGAAAAACAAATACGTCTTACTGAAATATTAACGTGATTTGACAGATATTTTTAATTATTTTGTTAAACAAGTTAAACATTATACATATTATATATGTAAAAGAAAATTATTTATAAAATGATATTTAGGAATAAAAGGATTACTAATTAATGAATCAGTTAGAGGCACAACACAAATTCAACAAACGAAGAGAACATAAAAGAAAGAAAAAAAAAGAAAGACACCAACCATACTCACCGGCGGTGTTGCTCAACGACGCGAGCGTCGCCAAGCCCTGAAGATTCGCAGGGTTGATTTCAGGAGGACTGGGCAGAGCAGGAGCGGCGGCGTGCGCAGGGGTTGCGGCGCCTAAACCGAGGTGCTGTTGTAGCAACAACTGATGCTGCACACTCGACAGAGCGTTAGCGCCTGCACTAGCTGCAACCGGAGTTGCTGCACTCGTCGTCGCCTGAAGTTGTTGCAGTAGCTGTAACGACGCGGGCGCCAGGGTAGGTGTATCGTTCTGCAAACAAACGAACGTCCAAATGTAATCACATGTTTTCCTTTGCTTGTTTACCTTCGGGCTATTTGCACTGATGAGAAGATACAACCAATCGTATATAGCGATGGTTCTCAACCGGTGGAATGCGAGAGGCACCTGGATAGTACAGTACCAAATATAGTAGGCTTTCCTAGGAAAAGTGGCACTGTAGGGAAAAGTAACAAGTAGAGTGGTATAGACCCTTCTATTCTTCTATTATAGAGACAGTGTATCAGATCCTTTCTGTATACTTTTCCTTAACACGTTGAGTGCCGTGGGGGTCACCGGTGACCGGCATCGCAAATTACACGCACTCCAATAATTAAAAGAAAACAATAGAAAAATATTATTTTCAATAGTATTGTTATTATACTAATAATGTAAAGTATCAAATTAAAAGCTTGACATTTGAAATTTGAAAATTAATTATTCCTATTCTTAATAATTAGAGCTTTAATACGTCATGTAACAAATGTCCATTTTCACTGTGGCGTTCAACGTGTTAAAGAAGAGAAGCCTATGTTGTATCGGAGTGTACACTGAGTTGCATTGAACTTGTCGCAGTGAAGTTAGCCACGCATTCACTCACCGACGCGGCGTAAATGCGTTAGTGAAGTTGGCTACAAATTCACTAACACATTCACGCCGCGTCGGTGAGTCTATCTCGCCCATCGTCTCACCGACGCGGCGTGAATGTGTTAGTGAATTTGTAGCCAACTTCACTGCGATAAGTTCAATGCAACTCAGTGTACATACATACATACGTGGCTAATTTGTGCAATATACAGTATACAACAATTTTATCACCTAAAGCTTCATTTTCAATGATAGTGCGTGCAGTTACCTCAATCTGAAATAACTGTACCAGAGGCTAGTCGAATGTGTAATGCTGGTCACTATTGAAATCTTGGATTGTAATTTTACCGGTATGCATTTATGAAATGGTTGAGAACCACTGGTATGTACAGTAATGAGCATCAGAATCAAGACAATCTCTCGAAATAATTTGATACGTCGTAATTCAAATATAGCAAAGTTGTGCATTATTTGAAGGTATCCTCTGAGACTCTGAAGATATTCGAGTGACAAAATTCTAGCGGTTCTGACATAACGAAATCAATCATAGGTGAACTTGTAGAGAAGCTACTCTCCTCCGATTTCGATGATTTTTAAATATGTTGTTAAAGTCATTTTAAGCAACTTTTTCCTCTAAGCTATATGTCGGACTCGATTATAATAGCGAGATATTCGCGAAAGAATATTGTTACTACTACTGCGAATTCTGCCTATATGTATGCGTACATGGCCGTGTGTGCATTGGCTCGCTTGCCTATCACCTCTGTAAGCAGCACCATGTGGTCCGGCAACTATTCATACAACGGATGAACTGAAAAATCAAATCATAACATTTGACTTGCGTGGCCGGCCGGAATATTAGTATAACCTAACCTAAACTGACCTAGACATATAAGTAACAGAAAAAATGAAATACCGCCAACATTACTACGAATGGCAGACAATCTTGTGGTGCACAATGATGAATACCGATGTTGACGGAATATAATTTTCTTCGTTACTTATATGTCTAGATTAGGTTAAGTTAGGCCACATTAATATTCCGACCGCTTTTAGGCGGCTGGCCACGCAGGTCTAATGTTAAAATTATTTAATTAGTAGTTAACTTTGATTTTAAGCTGACACGTTGTATGGACGGTAGCCGGGCCATGTGGTGCTGTTGACAGAAACACTAGATAAGCGAAGGTCGCTTGTCGACGCACACATAGACACGGGCGTATACGTACAGGCGGAATTCAATGTAGTAGTACTCATAGTTTTTCGCGAATATCTCGTAAACTAATCGAGTCCGACAAATAGCTTAGAGGAAAAAAGTTGCTTAAAATGATTAATTTTACAACATATTTAAAAATCATCGAAATCCGAGGGGGAGTAGCTTTTGTACAAGTTCACCCAATCTTGTGATATTGCGTTTTGTTTTATTTTAGAGTTTAATTTCAATACGTTCGAAGTATATTAGATTAGACGTCTGGACGGTTTTATGACCTATCAATACTTTTACTGTAATTCTATGTGTTGAGCTTGTCATCCTAAGATTTCAAGCGATCGTCCGGTTCGACTAATTTGAAATTTTATGATGGTATCCGTGCCGAGCATATCAAGCCAAAATGCTATCTAAAAGTTTACCTTCATAAACATGTGACGTCGGTAAGCTAGGCAACTTCCTGTTATGTTATCATTTCTGTTATCACAATCCCGATGCTTATTTCGTGACAAACAATGGTGTCCTGAACTACTAGAGTAACATAATGCTTTAACCCAAAGATAGATAAAATTATGATTTCTGGAAACCTTAATAAATGTGCTTGACAGTGAGACGTGGGATTATGACTCTTAACCCTTTTAACCCAACGCTGGTATACAATACCAACATGCAAAATAGGATAAACCTTGGTTATTAAAATTGTTTCAAAGCTTATCGTCCAAAATTCAAATCTTGTGGTATATTAAATAATTATCCTGATTATAATTAAGAGAACCACAATCCAGAATTGTAATTATCTCGGGAATAGTGATAATCTAGAGACAGATCAGTGAGGTTCAGCCACTATCGTTTGAAATGAAAACCAATTTTAAAAAATAATTTCTTTATATAAATAACAAAATAATTATACACCTTTGCATCATTTTTGGCTTTTTTGAATGGTGTCATAAAATAAAAAATTATCTATTAAAATGTCGCTCTTGTGCGGAGAATAACTTGAGAAACCTACACGCGGTGGCACTGGATCAAACTCAGGGTCGTTTGGGGGATAGAGTATCACATTGTTCCGAGTGATGGCTTTGAGGATTACTCTTAGTATATTCATGGTCCTAAGGGTAGATGGCGCAACAAGTAGCTTCATACATACAGGGTGTCAAAAAATTGTGTCCAATTTTGAGGAGCATACACATTAGGTATAATACCGGAAAGTTCTGTCCGTTTTTGAATTAAAAGAAAATAATACATTTTCAACACATTTATTAATATTTATTGAACAATATAATTTCCATCGTCAGTAATAACCTCTCCTTATTGTGATTGTAATTTATGGTTTTCATTTCTGTAGAATGACTTATCCTTGGAAACTTAAAATGACATTATCGGACAGGACTTTTGGGTAGAACTAATAATACTTTTTGTTTGTATTGACAAATATTAAATACATCTGAATATTTATAGAAAAATGGAGTATTTCTTCTATAAGAAAATTAGGTGAAACTGTGGAACAAGATTTTCAAAAGTGAAATTCCAGAGAAATACAAAATCAAGCATATAGAATTATACTTATATGTTTATTAATACTGAATTATTTCCTTAAACCTTTAATTTGTATTTATTACTGATTAAACAAAATTTCTACACCTTTTCCGATATCATCTGCTGTTATTTCAAACGACAGAAATTTATAAACACTTTGCAAAGAAATCAAGATGATTTCTGCAGTCGAGTAAATAAATAAGTATATCTATTCCTGAGGATATTTATCTGTAAGTTTTTATGAAGTCGGGCATCATATTTAAAGACTATATAAACAATGACAACCTGGATTAATATATAGTAACATAAACTTAACTGATCTTTGGAATTATCTTTGGAATAGACGTGCGCCATGAATTGCTAACGCTGTGGTGGAATATTGGAAGTTAATAAAATATTAACGGTTCGAATACGTGATGGACACGGGGTGATTTGCTCTGAAATTTTCATTCGTGTCACGTCCATCACAGATGCTCGACGTTTCTACGTAGAAGTCACACATTATTTAGAACACTGATTACCATTTGTTATTTATTTAATATGGCAAAATGTAGTATGTGAAAATAAAGTTAAGTTAAATATTTTAAAACAAACGTTTTTTGGAATTTTTTTAGAAAAAGAGAAAACAAGAAAAAGAGGATTAACTGTGTTTTAATTACTAGTCATTTAGTATCTATATTTTGGATATTAATAATTTTTCATACTTATTTTTTTAATTATTTTCAGCAACTATTTCATAGAACTAACTATTTTTATTCATCGTCAATATATTGTTATTTGTTATTAATTAGTTTTTAATAAATGTATTATGAGCTACTGTTAATTATTTCTTTATATGTATTAGTAAATATTTTATGTTATTAACTATAGTTACTTCACTAATTAATACTATTGACTATTTTTTTTTTACTATTAATTGCTTTTTAATACCTGTATTATTAAGTACTATCAAATATTCTTTTAAAATAGTAAAATTCTAATATTTTAGTAAGTTCACTATTAATTATATTAATTACTTTTTTATAATAATAACTATGTTTTTTAATAATATTCTACTTGAAATGAGTTATTTTGGTAAATGATTAACGACCTCACCGATTTCGATGACCTTGAAATATGTTGTCAAGGTCACTATTCTGAACAACTTTTCCCTATATACGTAAAAATAAATTACACTATGTATTTAGTAATACACTGCTTTATTGATAATTATGTAATTGGAAATACTTACATCTGCTATAATATCAAGAAATGCAGTTGGTAACATTATTGTTTAAACCACCAAATATTTTGGTTGATGTATAAAATATGGTTGGGCTACATTTCTTGGGGCGGGAGTGTCCCGCCTTAAAGTACGAAGATAATTATTTAAAAATAATTACCTACGCGCATACAATTTCCACGCGAAACGATTATATTAAATTATATTATATTAAACATGGGTATCGGTATTAGTTAGTGTAGTTGTTAGGGGAGGTCTGGGGGGCATAGCACCCCAGTCAGCAAAACGATTTTAAATCAAGTCGTGGGGGATGTTTTATTTTTTGTTTCGCAGGGCTCATGGAACGAAGTTCCATAATCTTGTTTTTTGTTGCAGGAAAAAAAAAGTCTGAAATTGTGGCTTTGAACCGACAGTCAGTGAATGACGGCAATAAAATTATTTTTGCGAATATCTGGAAAACGAAGGCCGAGCGGCGGTAACATAGGAAAAAGTTGTTCAAAATAGTGACCTTGACAACACATTTCAAGGTCATCAAAATCGATGAGGTCGTAAATCATCTGCATAACTACCGTTATTTTCTATACCTTGTTCCACAGTTTATACCATAATAAAATTGCAACTTAAACAAAAATTTCAATTTTATGAAGAGTTCATAAATTTCATTATTCTTAAGCTATAATCTCATGAAGATTCAGTAATACTATAAAGTAGCAAAATGAAATTTTAAATTACTCTCTAAATACTTAAGAAAAAGATAACTGAGTGACAAGAAACTAATAATTAATATAGCTGTCCATCCAATTTTCAACTGAATTTCATACGATTCATCCTTGTGATGAAGAAAGTAACATCAGAAGATTAAAATTTGCATCGAGAAAGAAATTTTATCGCGCCAAAGGATGACTGATACTTAAGGTATCTCTCAGCCTCGGATCTAATTTTTTTCCTCAGGTATACGCGTGAATACTTTTGCAGATGTAGGCGAGCAGAATGTACGTGCAATTTTCAAGATTCTAGGTAAATAAATTGATGAGAAAGTATTTCATTCACGATGCAAATGGGCTCTTTGATATCGGAGCAAAAAGGTCGGTTGTGAAATATTAAAAGGTACAGACGGTCAGGTAATGCGGCGCCATGTTGACTCCTGCTATATTCCAAAGATTCGTCTGAAGCTGTTGCATCCTCTTCTGGTCCTTTTCCTTTTGCGTGTCTGCAAATTTCACTACCAACGGTGATGAGCATCCCTGGAAACAAGATAGAAAAATATATGTTAAATGTCTGTGCTTTATAAACAAGATTTAACCCATTACCACATGATGTGACATTGCCTCTCTTTCAAAAGTCATGAAACATTTATTAGTTTCAGCTTTGATTCTAAATTAACATTACTCTACACCTACAATATTAAATTAAATAATCATTTACCGACTCTTTGCAGCGAATAGAATTATTATGAAGTTTTACATATATCTAAGGTGGTAAAACAATATTTTAATTCATTAGTACTAATAGATTTAATTTATTAGTACCAATTTATCAGTACTACTACATTTTCTGAAAATTTAATTCGAAGATTCAGAAAATTAATGAAGTTACAACAGCCTGCAACAGGCATTCCAAGATTAAATCAATAATGATTGTCTCTGAAAAATAGTAATTAATATTTTTTAATAATTGACGGACCAGTGTAGTTAAAATTTAACATAGAACTTCTTGACAATTTTATGTACTTTTTGACGTACTTTTGTCTTTTTAAACATCATGGTTAAATTTTTTTGTGACTTTTTAGTAACAAATCATGTATCTATATTCTATCATTTTGCAAAAAAATATTTTTAAAATTGGCCTCGCCAGAAACTATGGTTTTGTGTGTACAGTTAATCACAAAATTGAGCAAAATTTATGCTGGCAACAACAATTGGCAGGAAAATCAATGCAAATACACATATTTAACAGTGAAGATACAATATATATTTTACTCGTATATTGTAGTAAATAATTCGTAAAGGAGTTTTTAAATAAAATAAATAATTTGTTTATATTTAATAAAAAATGTAAAATTATCTAGGTGCACGGTAGTGCACCAGCCAAGTTCTCGCACTACCTCCTTTTACACGAAACAACTTAGCCGTTTTTAAGGGGCTCATAGCTCGGCACTGGAGGCAGATGGAGAGATGTAATTTCGTACACTTGTTAAATGCTATCATGTCTCAATATTGACAAAACATTAATCTTCCAACATTAGTAGGTTCCGAGATATAGGACCTCAAAAATCGCTAAATTTGTCACTGACTGACTGACTGACCTATCATCAAAACCTTTTGGGTACTTCCCATTGACCTAAAAGCTTGAAATTTGGTACATAGGTCCACCATAACAAACAATCAAAGGAATAATTATCAAAGTTTGAAATTTTACACCTTAAAGGGGTTGTATTGAAAAAAACATTACGAAATAGGTACGTAGGATGGAACATAGTAGCATAACATAAATAACACAAAAAATTCAAGGGAAAATTAGAGATTCAATTTTCGAGTTTTATGCCCAAAATGGGATGAAAAAATAGTTAAAAAAAAAAAAAAAAAAAAAAAAAATTCCAAGAGTAAAATCTACATAATCTAGGTAAAGTTTACCCCATATTTTCACATTATGTTGCAAAAATAATTATAATTATCATACTTGATAATTGATGAAATCTTAACAAAAATTGATGAAATCCCAACAAAAACATCCTGTAAACAGGAGCTAAGTTCTTATGGCCGTAAAAAGTTGTGAGATCAAACAAAATATGGCCAAGTTCGATAGCTTAGAAATACCTCTTGCAATACTGAGAAAAGCTTTTGTTAAAAGAATGCTATTTAATTTTTGAAGCGTTACATGGAGGGATAAATTATAGAAACTTGGCCATTACCTAACACCTTTTATGGCCATTGGTTTCAAAAGTAACATATTCGATCGGTGATAACCACCACAATTGAGTATAATTTAATACTTAAGGGAAAATTATATTTTAAATCTTAATTTTAATATAATTCGCGATTCTTCTAGATAACGACAAAATTTAGTCTTTCTACCATTAAGCAGATCCAAATAAGCGATAAATTTGTTTGCAGCTATCCAATCATAGCTTTCTAAATTGTTTCATTACTAAGTTCTTGAATGTAATAAAAGATTATTAGACTTTTAACAAAAAAGAAGAATACTTATAAAAGAAATAAAAGTAGAATTCGTTAACTTTTTCCATTCCATGGAAGTTAAATTCTAATTTCGTCGAACGACTGTCAGACACGAATTATGCATAATGTTTCCTTCCATTTGGAAGCTCAAAGTTCTAACGGAAGTATCGGAGCAATTTAACGTACAACGTTAAGGTGCACCCTTCACAGCAAATTCCATACACTCCATGGGAATTGTTTCTCCCCGTTTGCCGCCTATGCGATGCACTATTTCGAACAGTGAAAGCAAATCGTGCCAAGGCACGCGGCTACGACAGCAATTCCATTTTGATATCATGAATATTTCCTGATGCAGGTTCCTCGAACTTGCTCGTCGTGGTCGACTTAACTGGCATGATTTCATGCACCGTGCTCCGTGCTTTCCTTTGTGTATAATAGCTCCAAGGAAATTATATGTTACTACGATCGTTACTAATTATTACGTTTGTAAAACGATTCTTGTTTCGTGAAAATTATCGTGACAATTTTCTTTTCGATGACAAAGAAGGATATACGCCGTGAAATTGCAGGAAGTGATAGAGATCAAGTTCGATATGCAGGGTACAAACTATATGTATAATCACGGACATTTTGAAAGGCTACGTATAGTATTGAGCCAGGTAAATTTTCCTAGGGAAAATAACGTTTAAAGGAGATAAGCCCCTATTAGTTCTGTGTAAACGTTTACTCGAGAAACCTTTATTTCATTTTGATCATTAATATTTCTTGAAATTTTGTATTCTGTATTCTGAAATTTACAAAATTGGATTTTGAATCTTTGAAAGTGTAACACTAAAACCTTGAAATTTGAACGTTGAAACTTGGATTTTCTAGTTAAAAAACATAAATTCGAAAGTTTGATTAACAATTTTCAAATTGAAATTTAAAATTTAAATAATGAAAGATCGGAATCTGAATTTGGAATTTTTGAACTTTATTTTCTAGATGTAAGGAGATTTATTCATAATATGTAGTAATTGTTGAATGTTACTAAATGATGGACTCTCCTTTCCCTTCACCGCCATTTTCCCTAGAGAAGTCTACCTTGCTCGATACTCTTCATATCTGCATAAACATCCAAACTCTAATCATTAGAATATTTCTAACACTACGTGTCAAACTTCTAACCAATGATCCACTCAACTGACAATTTACATCTATCTTAAGATTATCAAATTAAACAATCTATTCGTAAAGGATGACTAGTATGAAAGACAGCCAAAGAGTCGGTCGGAGAAGTAAAAGAGGGCGGAGAACATTTTAAGAAAAGGTGTCGGTACAAGTTTCGAATCATCGAGGTGTCGGATCGTTCGTCAGCTTTTCCTTTGCTCGATTTCGGTTACAGTGAGTTAAATCGGTATATCATCGAGCGGAGACAGCTATGTTAGCCGGGGTCGCGGGTGCACGGACGTTTCTCTCGATGACAGTGGCATCGAGCCAATGTCCAACGACCTCATTGAACCGCTATGAAAAGAAACGAGCCGTGTACACTTAACGAGCTTCCTGCTTTTCCTTTCTCTCGTTTCACCGTTACCTTTCTTTTTATATTCGATTGTTTAATTAGAAACTGACGAGAGTGTACGAGGGTGATTCAAAACATTGTTGAAATGTCATTGTTTGAAGAAGATGTCACCTGATATACAGTGGACAATATTTGTATAAGAACAGTATAATTTACGAAAGAAATATTAATGTATATCATAAACCTTTACTTGTTGTATGTGTGGAACTTCATACACGCTATAATGCCTTCATTAAAAAACGGTTTGTACTTTCAAGCATTGAATCTTCTGTTGATTCACATGGGATTATCATTTTCCGGTGAAGTCAATGCAAAATTTCTATGGAAATAGTCTTTTAGAAGCAATCCTATACCTTACTTTGCATAGGTAACTTCAAGAACATATATTCTCTACCGACTCGTACGACTAGAGAATCTCTACTACTCTCTCATAAGGAACATAAACATTAATACAGAATTCGGCAAAACCCTATTAAACATAGGAAATTCCAACACTTTAATTAACCAACTGATCATTTAAGAAAATTCTCAGGCATCTACACTGATGAAAGTAAATCAAAAGAATCACCTTCTGTAGGAAGTGCATGTATGTGCAGGGACTTAGACATCGTAACAACTAGAAATATCAATAAAGACTCCTCAGTATTTACGGCGGAATGTGTGGCTATAAGCGATGTAGTGGAAATAGCTTTAAAACACTCCAATCGAAAGTTCTTTATTTTCATTGACTCCCTCAGTGCCCTTTTCATCCTAGTACACGCAACAGGAAATATCAAAACCAACCCAACAATTCTGGAGATAAAAAGGAAAATCTTCGAATTCTGTGTTAAAGCTCAAAACAATAACTCGATCAAATTATACTGGATCCCAGCCCATATAGGAATCCGCGGCAATGAAGAAGTAGACAAGCTAGCTAGCCAAAATTGCAGCAAACACCGCCCCGACGGATCTCACTAAAATTTCCTTTACAAATCTTACAATTAGTGAACAAGCTAAAGCGATATCAACTAACACTACTCGTGATATCATCACAAAAATAGGACTAACTAAAGGGAAGAATTATTTTGCCAAACATTGGTGTTGCGTGAACGTGGTCTAGGAAGCGGCACAGCAGCGCGCTCTGACTAGAGAAGACAGAGTCATGGTTGGGCATGGCGTCGGGCCGCGTCTACGCAGTGTCCTTGCAATAATACTATTGTACAACGGTTTATTCTGTCTCCCACAAATAATACCACAACAATTGGTTCACCGGAAAAAAAATTGAAACGAGAAACCATCACAATCTGGCCTACTCCCTAGCTCGGACAGGTGTATTAAACGACCCGAAATGTCAATGTGGCTACGAAAGGCATAATATCGACTATGTATTATGGTAATGCCATCTGTTTGACGACCAGACAAAAAATCTGATCAGCAAGCTACATAAACTGAACTATCATCTTCCCCTGTCGTGCAAAGTATTACTTCAAAACCCTACAACGGCCATATGCAACATCATACAATCGTTCTATAAAAGCTGCCACCTATCGATCTAACACAACGGCTCTACGAACCTCATTTAATGCATAGCTGTACGACTTATGTATACTCTCATTTGTATATCCGCCCATGTAAAGTCTATATGCAAACTATGCAAAATAACCTCACTAAAGGTTGATACTGCCTAAATAGAAAAGAAAAAAAAAATGTTTTGTATTTACTGTCCTCCGCTCATAAGAAGTCTTGCAGAACGGCAAAGGAATAGCGAGACCGGTCTTGTATGTTTACACGAGCCTAATTAATATAATAGATATGACCGCTTCGACCAATAATACGTCACGGCCGAAAGCATGTGTAAACTGAGGTGGATTGTGACTAATCAGATTGCACTATTTTCATGGGATTTTTTATTAGCGGAAGACAGTACAAATTTCAAGCACTACCTGCTTGAAAAATGTTCTACTACGCCTATTTTCTAATCCCAGTAGTATCATAAAGGGCTGTGTATACCACTAGGTAAAATAGACACGTATCTACGGCCTGCTGCAATGACAGGCTCACAGAAAGTTGTTTGTCATTATAGGACTGAAACTTTTTATACAAATACACCTTATAAATCTGTATACCTTAAAAAAATCTTATAAATTTATGATTCACTGAGTGTTCTTAGAGAAAAACGAACATCGTACCTCAATTGGAACCGGAGATAAGAAGCTTTGAGTGGAAAGAAATTCCAGAAAAATCACGTTTGAATATACAACTTAAGAGGGGCGAAAGGTAGATGTATTCCAATGCTTGTTGCGTTATCTATGCAAGAATACCTTTCATTTGAAAAAAAAAATAATGCAAATCGGGCGGATAGAACTGCCGGATGAACTCGGAATAGAATTTTTTTAATATATAGATTTTAATTATTTTCATACGGTATAATCATTACTGTATGAAATAAATAAATCATTTCATTTGTAGGTACGTGTGGGGCCCAAAAAGCTCTAGACGTTGATCTGGTACCATATTCTAAAATTATTTTGGAATTTTTTAGACCCCAGCGTAAGTGGCAAGGGTTAAAGTAAGTAATCTGAAATTCGTTGTTTCAGTATTAAGTACCAGTGACAAGCGAGTAAATCGTGTTTCAAGACAACTTACCTCCATCGTTTGCGAATGATGAAGAGCTTTAATGGCGTTGATGGCGTACTGTTTACTAGCGAAGGTAACGAAGGCACAGGCTTTACTTTTTCCGGTGCTATCTCTGAGCACCGAACATTCTTCGATGGTTCCATAGACACTAAACATGTTCCTAACGTCATTTTCAGTGAACTTCTTCGACAGCATACCAACGAACAATTTACGTTCTGTAACAAAAAAATTTCAACAATATTAGACCATATTTTATTCAATTTCATTACAGAAGAGATCTTACAGTGGGTGATCAAATTATTGGAGCCACTCACATAAATTGATAATTTTACATAAAAATTATTGATTCTTAAATGAAAACCGAGTTAAACAGAGTTTTTATTATTTTTTTATGATGTATTGATGCTTGTAAAATTCTTGACTGGCCTGAAAATTCTCTGGACCTCAACCCCATCGAAAATTTGTGGAAATATTTATTATTAGTAATAAATGTCAATTGATTGAACGTTTGATAGAAGAATGGGCCAGAAATAAAGCAATCAAAATGAATTTCTTAAAATCCATCGAAAGTATGCCGAAAAGAATTGAGACAGTAATTGCAAATACTGACATACATGTGTAATATAATCTTTTAAATACATTTGTTTATTTTTATAAGTATTTTTTGTATATTAATAGTGGAGGATTATTAATTAAAAGTTACAGAATGTGAAAACCTTAAAATTGTGACTCTATTTCTACACAAACACGAAAAACCCATTTTTCATACCGTGGCTCTAATAATTTGATCACCCACTGTACTTTAACTATACCGTGTTACTATTTGATGTCAAGACCAACATAAATATGTACTGAAATATACAATAGTGTATGTTATATCGGTCCGACGGATACAGTATGTTTCGTAGAATCTATGTTTTTTACAATTTTAGATTCTTTTTTATACCTAACAGAATCATCAATAACATTATATTTAAGAATTTAATTTAATTCTTTTTATTCATAATTTCAAAAACTTTACTGCAAGTTTTGTATTTAATTGCATTACATATTGCATTTCGATCGAAATATTTGTACTGACGTGAGATTTTACGTAGAAAGGCTAGGCCCACCTTTCACTATACAGTAAAACCTGGATAAATGCAACCGAGATTGGGACCCAGTGGTTGCATTTATCCAAGCGAGGTATCGAATCTGGACATTTAATGTTGCATTTATCCAAGCGAGGTGTCGATTCTGGGCATTTAATGTTGCATTTATCCAAGCGAGGTGTCGATTCTGCGTCCGTACACATGTTTTGTATTCAGCCGACATGCCGATTCTGTGTCCGTACACATGTTTTGTATTCAACCGACATGCCGATTCTGTGTCCGTACACATCTTTTGTATTGAGCCGACATCATTTATATTCAGTCGTGGTGTCAATTCTATGTTGTTTATTCTATTACTATTGTTTCATAGAAATCTCACAATCAGAAAAATCTCACAAATGCGTTAGTAAAAGTTTCATTAAGAAAAAGTTAAAAATAAAAAAGTTTTATCGTTCAATTAGTATTAGTCACACCGATATTACGGTCGGATCATATTACACGGTTTTCTCGTCGAGCGGTTCGGTTCGTCTAGGGGGATCCCCCCAAGTGGAGGGGATAGCGATGTTGCACTTATCCAAGCATTCTTTCGTTGCATTTATCCAGGTTTTACTGTATCTGGTTACCTCAATGGTAAAAATCTCGATTTTCTTAAAATGCTTTCGTTCTTTGTGTTTAATGACCTTCTCCATCAAACAAAAGATAGGTATTTTTCTGTCGAAAAGGGAGCTGGAAATATTAACGCGAAGAAAGACACAGAAAGACAACGTGAGAGAAGAGGGGATCGAAAAAGAGGATGAAGAAAGGGGTGAATGCAAAAGCTGAAAGGGTGAGGAGAGGAGTAGATAGAGATATTCGGAGATGGAGTAGGGCTGTTTTGCGTCACTGCACGAGACTCTGGGCTGAGTCGTTGAATTTACATAAGCGGCTTTTCTCTGGGCGAAGCTTTTCTCTTGGTCCTAAACAAATATTGACCGGGCCACTTCCGTCTTTCCTCGCCACTTGTCGTCGTCAAATGGTCCGTAGCTGACCAGGTACATTAGATGTGAATGCTTATTACGCGGCAAAACGACAAGTGCCAAGTATCGAGCATCAATTTCAGTTAACTTCTGGGTAGAAGTAAAATTCGAGTGAAATTAATATACCTACTTACAATTAGATAATTAAAAAAAAAGAAAAACACGAATTTGAATAGTGTTTATCTTTTGACAATATATTATTTCGCAAAAATAATGTCATGGTATTTTGGACCTATTTGAGAAGTTTCTTTTTTCTTGACAGTATCAAAATTAGTTAAAAAGTACGATTGTTCTTTCAACTTTTTGTATCATTAATTCAGAATAAACTGTTTCAAAAATCGAAATTGATATCATAAATGCTTTTAATCCCTACTATACAGGGTGTTTCCGAAATCGTGGTACAACCGGAATGGGGGTAATTCTTCATGCAAAAATAAGTAGAAAATAATGAATACAATTTTTTCATATGACGTTTCCTTTTTGAAAAAAAAGCTGATTGAATATTCGTTAGGTACGCGTGTACTTAATTAGTCGCGATTTGCTTAGTTTACCTAATCTGGCCAACCGTCCTTACTTCTATTTATGTTTATACACATATCAAGGCCGTTGATAACGTGTTGGCTTGCCTATGTCAAAAAATTATTAGTGTCTCTACAGCTGTCACAATGACAAGATATAGCAATCGTGGATACACTGATATGATTCGTGCACTAGGAGCTTGTGAGGGTAATGCTACTGTTGCAGCCGAGTACTACAGGCAACGGTACCCCAATCGTCGTCATCCAGATAGTCGTGTAATACAAAGACTAGTTAAGTACACACGTATCTAACGAATATTCAAATTCGATTTCTTCAAAAAGGAAACGTCATATGAAAAAATTGTATTCTTTATTTTCTACTTATTTTTGCACGAGGAATTGCCCCCATTCCGGTTGTACCACGATTTCGGAAACACCCTGTATAGCAAGTATATTTTTCTACATTTTATCTAAAGCAAGACATCGGTTTAACACAAGCCCAGCAAAAAGGGTTGTCAGCTGGAGCATATTGGTGTGCAGACTCGTTTTACACCCACACAATTAATCAGATCACACACACGCAAACCCTCGTCATCGGTTCGGAGGAGCTCGATAATCGCGTACACGAGATTGATCAGCACCGAATGAAATTCAATTCGTTACTAACCCCTCGTTTCTTGCGCGTGTAACGAGCCGTGTCTGATAGCCGGTCAAAGGATTCGATTCGAACGAGAAAAGAAATAATAAAACTGAGTATGAACGGAAGCAAGAGAAGGTATAGGATGACGAAAGAGAAGGCAGGAGATCACATTGTGACGAATCACAAATCTGGCTAGACAAAAGTCATCGAATTTTTCCGTTTTGATTGCAAATTATTGGAAAAGGTTTAACAGGAACAAAAACACATTCATAAATGAAGGACTTAAAATTAAAGGGTGCAAGTGATTTTTTTTATTTACCACTTTAGCTAATCATTTTTGCTCATAATTCAAAAATGTAAACAAATTTCATTTGAATTCCTTAAATCAATTATATAAAATTTAATATACGCCAATGTTCTGCGGGTCTGTATGAGGTAACATAGCCCTATTTTGTGAAGAACACTGTGTTCCAAAATCTATTTAAAAAAGGATATTTTTATATTTTATAGCAAATACTTTTTAAGTAAGATGTACAGTACACTTAAACAATATTCGCTATATAGCTACAAAATATAAATAATATAAAATTTTCCCAAGTAAATGTGTATATAATGGTGACACCAACTGTGCTATCGGTACCATAACTCCATCTCTAGAGATAATTTTTTATTTGCAAGACCGAACGAGTCAACTTTTATAAAATATTAAGCATATCAACTGATAAATATAATAAGATTTTTCATTTTGAATTTTGTGCAGCTGAATTGACGGTTCATCAAACTATGGGGCGACCGCAAGGTCCTACTATTAACGATTTAATTATTTTCGTAAGTTCACCGGCTAGCAGGTCATCGTATCAGATTTTCTACCAAGCTCAATGGAAATTGAATGGAAGTCTGACCGTCGATCTGCGATTATTTTCCAAGGGAAAAATTTCAGGCCTGCTACCCGTACTAACCCCTTCATCCCCTTTTGTCCAACGCGGTATTGGGCCACAGCAAAACTGCGGGTTGCGTGGAATGTTTATTAAATACCGAAGACGTTGGGTTCGTTGGGTTCCTGCTTTCGTGGACCGAAATTGTCCGGTTACAGCCACCAGGACCAGCCAACCACCTTTATCTTTGCTCAAAGCCGGGGGGAAGAATGTATTGAGCAGCTGGAGATCGATCCAGGCACGTAGTCACGCAGACTGGTCTGGAAGTTCGGAAATAAGAGAGAAGGGGCTACGGAACGCATTGGTATCGTTGATTTAATTTAGTTGCGGTCGTACGAGTAGCAGACGAGGATGCAGAAATACCGCAGAAATACCTGCCTCGTCGCTGACCATCACGAACAATTTTCTGGATCGAAGAATCGTTTTGCTTACGAGAACGACATTTTACTGTCTGATGATTAACACTTTGACGGCTTTATATTTTATAGAATTGATGACTCTTGTAATTTTATATCTCTTTTTATATCGATGTGTATTTCGGTAATTTTTTAATGTTAAGCATTTCCAGTATTGATCTTCTACGTTTTACGTTTATGTAACCAGTTTTCAGTTTTCAAAAAATGGAAGAATTAGCACTGATGCAAGTGTTAATTCGCGTTTCTGGTATCACATCGGGTATCGATTTAAATTTCCTCCCATTATTCACGGATTCTTGAACGCCCGTCCACCCACGCCCCATTCATTTTCCAATTAATTCGCAATCCGCAGCGTGTTTGTAAACGAAATGCCTCGCCGTCGCCACGCTGCGTATTTTCTTGTTTTTCGTTTGCGCTTTTCTCGCAACGCCGACCGTCCAAGCACGAAACCGCGCAAATGTTTGTAAATCAATTTTATCGTCTATGTACACTGTGTTTGTTCCCCTAATTAAATCGTGGTACATCCACCGAACGATAGAACGAAATGAAAAAAAAGCGATCGAAATACTATATCCACGATTACTTTTCCAACTCTTTAT